CTCTATATTCCTTCCTGGCCCTGGCAATCCTCGGGTGGAGTCTGCTTCCAATGCAGCCGCGATTCGGATTCCTATTTATCTCTGGATATTCGTATGGAAAAACTCATCTCCAACTTGATATTCCTTCCTTGCTCTGGAAATCATCGGGCGAATCTGATCCCAATGCCGCCGCGAGTCGGGCTCCTTTCAAACTCTGGAAATATTATTGGAAGCTCCAACCAAACCAATTTTCCCCATCGCCCCGCGCCGTCTTCTGGGAAACGGCTTCCGGCTCCGCCGCGTTTCGATCTTTCCCCTCCCTTTTCCAAGGGGGCCCCCTTCGCCGAGTCGCCGACCCTTCGAGCGAATCAACAACGCGCCGCAGTAAAACAACTCACCCAAATACAGGAGTGACCGGATCCGATGCGGGAGATAAGCGCTACGCATCAACGCGGACGCGTCTCCTGTTGTTTACGGGGCAACAATTCGCAAGTACTTGCGCGGCGAAGTCGGCTGCGGCGACTTCCGCTTGCATGGCAGAATTGGCCTCGCCCAGAAGAAGACCAAGGCGGCCGAGCACTGCCCTCGCGAACGGCGCAGCGGGTGCACTTGCAAGAACGACAACGCCGCGAGACCCGGTGCCTTCGCGACGTCCGCCATCTGAGAAAACTCGGATGCGCCATCCAGCCTCGACAGTGTCAGCGAGCTCTCAGGGGTCAAACTCGTCGACCCCCCCCCCGGCGGTCCGACGCGGCAAGCCGCGTCCGCTGTGCGATTAAATTCTCGCGGCCGCCAATCGTCGGAGAAACCGGTCTTGCGGCGAAAAAAATCGGCGCGCAGCATTGCGCGGCTTCCGGGCGCTTCTGCAGCGCAACGCTGAACATCGCAATCCTGCGATCGCCTCGTAGTCGACGGCGAACTCCAACTGGCAGGGCGTGCTCGGCGGCCTCAAGTCATCGCGCTTCGTCTGGCGCGGCGATTCGACGCCCCTGACAACGCCGGCGGCGACCTCAGCGGCGACCTTCCCCCAGGGGGCGGGAGGTCGGTCGCCTCCGGGGCAAGGCCCCCGAAGGCCATGCAACAGCTGCAAAGTGCGAGCGGAATGTCTACAGCCGGTTCTCCACGCCGTCGCGCCCGAGCGAGCGGCAAGTGGCCCGCGGCGCCCATGTCTGCGAACGAAAATGAAAAGGGCATGGGGGCATCGAACCGTGGGCGCGCGCGCCGCAGCCTTCGCGCGCGCTTTTCCGACTGCCAGCCTCTCGCAGACGCGCCCGTGCATCCGCGCCTCGGCCGACGCGCGCCCGTCGCAAGGATTCTGCCGTAGATGTTTCGCGCCGCCCTTGTAGATGATATGCGCGGTTGCAGGCTCGCGACTGAAATGCCCCATGCACTTGCGAAACCAGGCTGCTGCCCCGCGGTTGAAACCCGCCCCCCCCTCATCCAGAACCCCGAGGTGCTGCGGCGAAGGCTCGCAGCGTGAATCCTGCGAGCTGTTCACTACGAAGCTACCGTGCATACCAGTAGAAGAAAAAGTTCCCCCTTCTGGAGTATATGCTCTGCGTGCCTGCGCCGTTGGGGTCAGCTGAATTCAACGAGCCACCGGGCACCTCCATTTGCTCTGCGATGCGGTAGCGCAGCGCAGTATGTTCAATTTGAACGTTCATCGCGCCGACTGGCCACGCGCCCTCGTCAAACAAAACGCCCCAAGACTTCGGTTTCCACTTCCATCCATAACGTCGGAAACTCAGATCGGACAGGCGGTTTGCCATGAGGGCGTGCTGCTTCGGATCTGTCGCGGAGAAGAAAAACAACTTGACAATCCCAAACAATGTCGCCAATCGGCAACCAGTGTCCAGCAGCTCAAGTCCCACGCCCAATTCCGCCCAGCGACCCTCCAAATCTAAGACGATGTCCTCGAGCATCCCGATGATTAGATATGGCTCGAAACCCCCACCTGTTCGCAAAGCTCTCGACATGCAAGCAGCATCCGTGGCCGCGACATCTGGGGCAGACGCTTGTACCGCGTTAGTGCTTATAGCCATGGCAAGTGCCACTCGCTGGTGACAGGTTGTCCCACAAACAACGGATTGAGTCATAATGTTCACATGTCTCGCACCGTCTCTAAATCTTGAATGCCCAGAGCAAGCGAGACGCTTTGCCAACGCTGTCCATACATACGGATCTCACTATATCGCAAACGCATCCTCCACTGGAGTTTGACGCTTCTATCACTCACTGATGATATCCCCTGGCCTGCTCATGCTGTTGGTCACGGCCGCGTATGTGGTAGCTGTTCAAGGCCTGCAAAGGTGGTCCTCCAAACCTAGATCGTCGACAGCCTTTGAATTCGTTGTGTGTTCGCACATCCATATCTCACGAACAATGATTTGTTTTTCCAACTGGGTGCGCCCGAAACCTCCCAATCCTAGTCCCTCGATCGTAGAAGCTCACCAGACATAAAGCAAGTCATCCACTGGGACGAGAACGCCCACATCTTACCAAGAAGATCGTCGGAACCCGGTGCGGCATCGCGCGGAAGCCGTGCCAACTGCTCTGCGAACTCATCGGGAGCAGGCTGGCCTGATGCCCATTTGATCAGCAACTCGTGTTTGCCTCCTCCCTCGCAACCACCGTCGGAACAATGGACCAGCAAGCTGCAACGGACTCTTGCGAATCCTGAGCTTTCCTTCCGCCGAACTGGTGAGCCAATTCAGTTTGTTCTGGCCATTCCGCTTGTACTTCTAAGTCGGATTCCTCTGCAGCTCCACATTCGAATTCTGGAATTTCATACGCAAGTTCCTCTCCAACTTGATGGCAAATCTGGCTGGATTGTTCCTACGATTCGGAATCCGCCCTCTGGAAATCGAAATGTCACTTCCTTTCCTGCTCAATTTCTCTTTGGTGCGCAGGTTCGATTCATATTCGCATTCGTGCCGCCCGCGGGCCTGCAGTACTAATGCCCATCGCAAGTCTTGCTGTATACGTTTACAGCGCGCGTTACAGTAAATTGTTCCTAAACCAATCAACGCAGCACTGCAACGCAATTTTTGAATGGAAATGCACGAGTCCGAGCGATACCAAGGCGCCGAAGGGAGGAGGGGGAGGACGGCGGCGGCGGAGGCGGCGACGACGACGACGACGCCGACACCATCGACGACGGCGGGGGCGGCGACGACGACGACGACGTTGACGACGCGTGGGGGAGGAGGCGGAGGAGGAGGATGAGCGGGAGGAGGTGGAGGAGGATGAGCAGAAGGAGGAGGGGGAGGAGGGGGAGGAGGAGGAGGATTAGGAGGATGAGGTAGGAGGCGGAGGGGCATGACGAAGGAGGAAGGAGGCAAGACGGGGAATAGAGGAGGGAGCGAGGCGATTACGCGAAGGGACGGAGATGTGCGATTCGGCGGCGAACCTAGGGAGGAAGTACGCGATGGCGGGCCTTCTCGGGAGACGGCAGGGCTTGTCGGAAGCCCTCGGCCTCCTGGAAGCCCTCCGCGGCTTCGGAGCAGGCTTAGAGAACATCTCAGAACCCTCGACCTCCACCTTCCGCACCTTCAGGATGGCAGATGCCGCGCAGCGGCCGCCGCCAGCGCGGCCACAACAGAGGCCGCCGTCGAGGCAGCGGCAGTCTCGGCTGTCGCCGCGGCCGCGCCCCCGCGGCACCCGCTGCGCGGAAGGTCCGCAAGGTGTAGGTGGATGAAGGCCAGGGGCCCTCGTGCGCCTTCTGGGAAGGCCCGCCCCACCCAGCCGTCCTCCGGTCTGATGTTCTTCAATCCGCGGCCCCAGGGGCCAGTTTTCCGCCCCAGATCCATTCGCAGTGGCCCCAGGGCCCGACAAAGGACGAAAGGGAGGAAGCGCGCCCGAATTGAAGAAAGGCGCCCAGAGAGACACAAACCAAAATAGACACGTGTCCCAGGATTCCGTATATTCTTGCATACCCTCTAGGTTTTCGTCTTCTTCCCTTCCACTCCCAGCATGTTGCCATATCCCCATTGGAATAAAAGTTTAGGAGTGTCTGTGTGGGACGCAGCCAGGACAAGGATAACATTGGGTGAGGGAACATCGACAATCTGTGAGGTCCGGCGGCTCTGGAAAATGTCTCGGGCGCCGCAGCCCTCTCAGAGCGCTCCAGAATGCTCTGAGAGCGTTCCGGAACGCGCTGGAACGGATGTATCCTCGTCCTAGCCACGTCCGACGAGGTTATGTTGCATCTTCGGGGGACCTTGTCTGTCCCGTCGCGCCCCTAGCCGGGTCGAATCCGCGTCGAATCCATGTCGGACTCGTCGAATTCTCGGCGAATTCGCGACGGATCCACACAACATCCGCGTCGAGCCCGCCTCGGGTGCAAGAAACGACCCCGTTTATCCCCAGACATCCCGATTGAAACTCGGCGGCGAGCGAGGGGGGAAAGTGAGAAGGGGCGGGCCTTCTCAAAGGCCCAGAACCCCCCCGGCCTTCTGAGAAGTTTCTGGCGCCTCCCCCGATCCATGGATTTGGCGCGCGGCCGCCACATCCATGGATCGCGGGAGGCGCCCTCCCCAAAATGCGGCCGGCGCCGCCTCGCTCGGCGGCGGCAACCTTCGCTTTCCCATGGCAGCGGGACCCGCCGCTCATCCACGCCCCCTTGATCGGGTGTTGCTAGAAGTACCCCTGGCCCAAGGTACCCCCAGGATTCTCGGGGTGGCCCAAAAGGCCTCCGGGGCACCCCTCGCGAGGCCCAGAGGGCCTCCGGGGCTCCAAAATGGAACGAAGAGCTGGGGGCACCTCGGGCCAGGGGCACCTCTAGCAACACCCGACTTGGTCCACGTCTGCGATCGCCCGTGGCACGCCCCCGCCCGGCCCACCCGCCCGCGACCCGCCCGCGGCCCACCCGCCGCCCACCCGCGACCGCCCCGCGACCGCCCCCGTCGCTCTTGCTCGCAGCTGCGGGGGTGCTGCGCCTCGCCGGGGGCCGGGGCCTCGGCCTGCCGCCTCGCCCCCATCCCCCCCTCGCGGGCACGCCGCCGCCGCGCTGCCCTGCGGCGTCACGGCTCCTCGCCCGAGCTCCCGGACAGCGGCTCCTGCCGCTCCCGCCGGGCCTGCTCCTGGGGCGGCGGGGGCGGGGCGCGCAGGAGGGCCTCCTGCCAGTACGGCGTTAGCTCGGGCCTGTCCCCCTACAGGCGGATTGTGGAGAAAAATGCACATACCCCAAAACATACAGAAAACATGCTCAAACATGCTGGAACAATCGTCCCCAAACTATTGTTTAACTATTTTTGAATATTCCTCCTGTGGAGGGACAAGCCCGACCAAAACGTATGTTGAGGACGGGTGGTGCAGTAGGAGCTCGACCACAAGAAACCTTCCACAAGAGACCCGCCCCCTGCCTTTTTTGTAATCGCCGATGTGGCCGAGCGTTTGTTCCCCCAGCCGTTGTGGAAACCCTTGGGGGAACACTTGGGGGAGGATGGCGGGGAAGATCAGGAGGAGGCGGAGGAGGAGGAGGAGGAGGAGGAGGAGGAGGAGGAGGGGGAGGAGGAGGAGGGGGAGGAGGAGGAGGAGGAGGGGGAGGAGGGGTCAGCCCTGAGATCCCAGGACGTCCAGTGATCTTTTGGGGTGTGGCGCAGGAGGACGTCCACTGATTCCTGGGGGCGGGGGGCGCCGGAGGACCCGCCAGCACGGTCGAAAAGCGCATGTTGAGGACGGGTGGCACAGCACAGTCAATCTGTACAGGGCAATTTTCAACACATGGGATTTTTTTAAAGATATATGATTTTGAAAACATGATTCATTTATGAATAAATGTATGTATGCATGAACTCATCGTTGTTTTTAGTACCAAATCCCTTTTAACACATGATCCGCACGCGGAGCATGTATTCAAAACGGCACTGTACCATGAGGATGCGCGGCGAGGATGCCAAGGGGCCTTCGGTGCCCATGTGACCCGTTCGTCGAACGAGGCTGGCCAGCGAGTCGCCGAGGATGGGCCGAAAGGGGCAAGGAGGCAAGGCTATCCTCGGGAGGGCGGGGCGCGGCCCGCTCCTGGGGCGGACAAAAGTGAAGGGGCCCAGGAGCACACACACAAATACACACACATCCCAGGATTCCATATATTTCCCCATGCTTTCTGGGTTTCCGTCTTCCCCCCGCCTCCCATATGTTTCCATCTTTTCCTGGGAGTCGACGATGAATTGTGACTTTGTGACTCTGTCCCTCCCGAAAGAGTGGGGAGGCGGCAGGGACGTCGGCAGCCTTTGGAGCTCTGAGGCAGCCCGCCGCAGTGGCCCCATGTCTAACAAGTCGTGCAGCGAGCCCGCCACAGGCGCTGAAATTTTCGTTGCAGCAATGTGGGTGGGTCGTGGGGTGGGTCGCGGTCAGAAAGGGGTCTTACGCGAGACGACATAGCTGAAGGGGCCCTGGGACACACACACATAAATACACACAAATAAAACTATTCCCCATATTTTTCGATATTTTCTGGGTTTTTGTCTTCCCCCGCACTTCCCATATTTTCGCATATTTTCTGGGGAATCGGCGATGAATTGTGTCTGTGTGTTTTTTCCCCTCCTGCATGGCGACCTTACGCGGTGGCTTACGCGGGCCGCCTGCGCGGCACACTACATTGAAGACCACGGCGCGTGCGCGGGCAACTTGCGCACCATTGCCGGCGCAGACGACCGCGATTTCTGTGTACGGCGGGTTCGTGCGGCGACGGCGTGCGCAAAGGTTTTTGACGCCGCCTCGGCCGTTCAACCTTGAATCGATCGCGGCGCCGATCGTTCGAGGTTGTTTTCCGTCGGGTGCAGGTGGCATTGTCGTGTCCATCGGTGCGTCCGCGTCGCAGAATTCAACCTTGAACGCCTTCGCCGGCGTCGCCGGCGCGCCAACGCCGAATGAACCGACCGTGCATTGTGTCCTCCTCGGAGGCGTGCATCCGACCCGAACATCTAATTCAAGCATCCTGTAGCATATCGTTTCCCGAGCGGTACGGCCAGAAAGCGCCCGCCTCGGAGCGTATACTATGAGAGTTTTTGGCGCGCGCGTCGCCCATGGAGGGACAACGAACACATAGCACAAGGAACAGCATGCCGACGAGAAGAGAATTCCCACGAACCCCTTGTACCTGATTATCTTTTGGCTGTATACAGTTTCAACTTGCCACAAGAAGCAGGGGGGTCGAAATTTACAATCACCCCCAATTTTTTTTTTTCATTTTAGCTCTGATCGTCACCTCCATATCGGGCATCGCATCATTAAAATAATCAGTATTTTCATTGTTGCCAAGAACTCAAGCGAAACGTCCACGATCGAATATCCGCCGAGTTCGCGACATCAGATGTTCGAGGATGTCTCCAGCAAAGGGTTTTTCCCAACCATCCTGTGGTGTTGGGCCCTCGTTTTGAAGAGACGGCGCCCCGCGTTCTTCTCCTCCCGCCTCCTTCCTCCCTCCTCCTCCTCCTCCTCCTCCTCCTCATCCTCCCTCTCCTCCCTGCGTTGCACCCACCCAGCAGCGCTTCGTGGCCCCATAGGGAGCTCCACCGACGGCCGCAGTGGCACCGCTCGCACGCGTCAGCCGCCACCCAGCACAGCGTTTCGTGGCCCATAGGGGGCTCCACCGAAGGCCCCACTGGCACCGCCCGCATGCGTCAGCCACCACCCAGTACAGCGCTTCGTGGCCATATGGGGGCTCCTCCGCAGGTCCCAGTGGGACCGCCCGCGTGCGTTAGCCACCACCCAACACAGCGATTCTTGGCCCCTCACGGGGGCTCCACCGACGGCCCCAGTGGGACCCCCTGCATGCGTCAGCCACCACCCAGCACAACGTTTCGCGGCCCCATAGGATGCTCCACCGAAAGCGGCACCCACATCGCGTAATCACAACTGCATATGGTTGGGTCTTTCGCCACGATATGTTTTAAAGAACTGTCGCGAACATATCATGTGTGCGAAGATGCTTCAGGCGAGACGATTTATTTTGTTGAGCTCCCCCTCCCCTTCTTCCGTTCCCGCAAATGTTGGAGGCCCAGGCCGTTTGTAACCAACTGGTCCTTCAACTGGTTCCAAGCGCCCCGAACGGTCGAATCCCGAGGCTTACCAATATGTACCTCTCCAAGGGCCCCGCGCGCGGCGAGTTCTCCACCGCCTTCGAGAAGGAGAACGCCGCGCTCATCAAGCAATATAACAAGCAGATCGAGCAACATAACAAGACCACCCAGTTCCTGAAGCACGTTGCCGAGAAAGCGAGCATCGCCGAGATGCGCCAGTGCCAGCTAACTGGCGAGGCGACAATTCGCCTCGAGGATGATGAATAACTACCTCCGAGGCCAGTCCGCGTGATGGTCGAGGAACACTCACGCGCCATGTAGAGACGATCTACGAGAAAAGGCAGAACCAAGAGCATCGAGTACTCGGGGATCTTTTTTGAGAAAGACCATGAGGAGGAGGAGGAGGAGCGAGCTCACCGTCGCCATTATCTGTCGCACCTGCGTCGAGGAGTCCATCGATGTGTTCGAGGCCAGCGGAGCAGCGCTCGAGGCCAGCGAAGAGGCGCCCAGGACGGCCGACGAGAAGGCCTAGAACGCCGCATGAGGCCGAGCGCTCGCGCTCCATGTGTTGTAGATCTGTATGTATATATTTATTTACATATGTATATATACATCTATAAATCACGGGCCATCCTCCTGCGCAAAATAAACAAACATGCTCCATCGTCCATTCGATCCTCGATCCTCGGATCAGGGACCCGGGATCTCCGGGCCGTCGGGGGGTCCAGATCCCGAGATCTGGGATTCGACGTCCAAGGATCTTGAATCCTCGATGCGAGGATCGATCGAGGATCGAGCCTCCCTCGTCGTCCATCGCCGTTCCAGCACCACTCGGGGATAGCTCCTTGAAGAAGCTCGACGCGATCGTGGAGTGTGGCCCTGGTATTCTCCACCCGTGCGGTCCAGGACGGCGTGAACTTGCACTCCCAGCAGGGACGCGCAGATACAACCTGAAGCAACGCCGATGCGGGCACTGGCTGTTGCCATGCTCTAAGCTCAAGGAGGCGGCTCCATCGAGCAGCACGGGCTACACGATTGACAGGCTACAGCCTAAGCCAAATTTAGTCATCGTCCGTCGTCGTCGTCGTCGTCGTCGTCGTCGTCGTCGTCGTCGTCGTCGTCCTCGTCGCCGTCAGCCCCTCCGAAGCTGTCCGAGGCCACTCGGGAGCTCCCCGCACGCGTTCCCCCGAGGCTCTTCCCCGAGGCTGTCCGGGGCCGCCTCAGAGGCTCTCCGAGGCCATCCAAAGGCTCTCCGAGAAGGCCTTTCCGAAGCCCTCTCTCGAGCTTTCGGGCCCTCTCTCGAGCTCTCTCGGAGGAGGGAGCTCTCCGAGGTCGCTGCAAGGCTCTCCGAGAATTTTCGGATGCCCTCTCTCTCTCGAGCTCTGTCGGGGCGCTTCGGGGGGGCGGAAGAGCACAGTGGAGGGAGGATTAGGGAGGAACAAAAGGGGGAGGAAAAGGAGGAGGGGGAGGAGGAAAAAGAGGAGGAGGAGGAACAAGAGGAGGAGGAGGAGGAGGAGGAGGAGGGGAAGGAGGAGGAGCAGGAGGAGAAGAGAGGAGGGAGGACGAGGAGGAGGAGGAGGAGGAGGAGGGAGGAGGAGGAGGAGGAAGGAGGAGGAGGAGGAGGGAGGAGGAGGAGGAGGAGGAGGAGGAGGAGGGAGGAGGAAGGAGGAGGAGGAGGAGGAGGAGGAGGAGGAGGAGGGAGGAGGAGGAGTAGGAGGAGGAGGAGGAGGAGGAGGAGGAGGAGGAGGAGGAGGAGGAGTGAAGTGGGAAGAGGCGGGAGGAGGACGAAGGAGGAGGGAGGAGGGAGGACGGGAGAGTCAGCCCCGGGGATCTCAGCCTCTTCGCCGGGGACATCGAGGCCTTCGTCGAGCGCCGAGCCGACGCGAGCCTGGTCGTCGAAGCCGACGCGCTCTGGCTCAAGCTGCGCGGCGAGGAGGAAGTGCATCTCCGGAAAATCGAGCTCGGTTCAATCTCCGCCGAGGCCCGCGCGCAGAAGTTTGACAACGGCGCCGCCGAGGCCGAAAGGGCCAAGGCATACGAGGACTTCCCCGGCGAGAAGGCTCAAGTGGACCAAGCCAACTCGAGCGCTGGAGGCGGGCGCCGCTTGACCCCCATCAACATCTCAACCGCCGGGGGCTGGCTAGACTCGAGCAGAGCGCCAACGTCTGCCAGGAAGAGCGAAGCGCGCTCCTCGTGCCGCGCGGGCGCCGCTGCCCAGTGAGCGACGTGGACCTTGAGAATGGCACCTGGCGCCGCGACGCCACCTGCGGGCGGCGCGACGGCGGGGCGGCGCGCGCTTCCGAGCAGGCGAGCCCCTCGGCCGCCTGCTCCCGGGGACAGCGCAGCGCTCTCCTCGAGCTCTCGGCGGGCGATCGCGCCGTGGTCTTCGAGGCCATCGACGCGCGGGGGCAGCCGAGGGCCTGGGCGGGCGAGCTCGTCGTGCGTACTGCTTATCCGATCCCCATCCCCAGCGGCGTGGCCTGGGCCCCACTGGCCGATGTCCCCCCCTAGATGGGGATATGGGTCCTTCCCCTCGGGTTTCGAAGGGTGTATCCCCAACTGGGTGGCAAGTTGGTGGGGGTCTCGAAGGGGGTGGGGGTGGGGGTGGGGATCGGATAAACGATACTGGCGTCGCGAGCTGGGCCATCGCCTTCCTCGAGCAGCAGCGCGGCCAGAGCCTCGTGCTCGCCGGCAGCCCGTCGAGCCGGAGCCAGTGCGCCGAGGCCTTGGCTCCCCGAGCGTGGCCACGGGGCGCGGCCTCCGCGCCCACGGCCCCGGGCGCCACGAGCCTCCGGCAGGAGCCAGAGCCCGCGCCGACAGACAGCTCGAGGCCGCAAGCCGCGAGGCCGAGGCGAAGATCCACTGGGTCCCCCAGAGCGAAGGGCTGCAGCGACGGAGCCGGCAGCGGACGGCAGGTGCCCGCGCTCCCGGGGGCCCTGCGAGCGCCTCTGCTGCATCTCCGAGGCCTGCCCCCGTCGCGTCGGGCCTCGAGCCCAGTGGCCAGTCGATCGAGCCAGGCCGCGGTACCGAGCCGAAACTCGCGAGGCATCGGCCGGAAGCTGTCCAAGGATGGCCCGAGGCCGAGCCGCCGGTGCAGAACTGGGGCGGCCTCGACGGCGACTGCCTCCGCCTCGAGGACCTGCCCGAGGACCGCGAGGGCGACGAGTGCCCCTGCCCCCTGGAGCTGCAAGCGCGGCACCTCGAACTCACAGGGCAGAAGGACATGATGAGGCCACCCGAGGAGCGGATCGCCGAGATCCAATGCCAGCGCGCTCTCCGGAATTGCGTCAAGCTGGCTCGCGCAATCAGCCGCGCGAGGCTTTTCAGGGTCCGCGGGGGGTCTGACTAGACGTGCGCAGGGAGGACCCTGGCAGACCCGCAGCAAAGTCCTCCCCGGCGAAGGGCCACTCCTGCGCGCAGCCGAGGAAGTGGCCCTCCTCCAGCCGCTGCCCCAGAAAGCGAGGGCAGGACGAGGATGAACCGGGAATCTCCGACCGCCGCCGGGCCTGGGGGACACACCTGGCTCCGACGCAGTGTCATTGCGCCCCGAAGGCTCTCAGAGGCGTTCTGGGGTGCCCCGGAGCGACGTGCCCGCTCCGCACCCTGGACCTGACTGATCCCAGCTCCCCCAGCAGGCACAGCTGGCCTCCAGAGAAGCCCTCACGAGGCCCAGAGTGGACTCGGGGTGAGCCGAAGTGGCGCGACAAGCGGGGGGCACCTTCGGCCAAAGACACCTTGGCTGGCACGCCCGGAAAAAAATACGGAACGCACGGGTACCATGCCCAACCGCAACTGCTATCCAAAACCGACAGCGGCCGCTGTTGGGCAGGCGACCTGTTGACTCAAACGGGCAACGCGACAGCGAGCCCGAATCAAAACGGACAGACTGAGCTTTTGGTATGTCCCCATTCTTGCATTACTTCCGTACCAATTTCGATCTACCGACTTTGGCAACACCCGATCCTTCAAGGCCAGCTCGCGCACCCGCCGGAAGCGCGCGACGGTGGAGTGCACCTGCTCCCGCAGGCGCTCCTCGGGCGCGCCGCGCGCAGCAAGGGTCAGGTGCTCGCTCTGGGGACCCTCCCGGATACACTCGCTCGATGTTTCTCCAGTTCCTGAATAATAAATACTCTGAGTTTCTTAATAAGCGCGGAGGGGGACCCCCCCGACGGGGGTCAACCTCGCCTCGTCGTCGCGCCGCGACGGGGGTCGGAGCGCCTTCGGCGCGCGGTGGCTGCCCGCAACGGGGGTCGATGGGGAGCTGTCGGCGGGGGTGACGCCCCCCCGACGCTTATTGAGAAGCTCGGAGTAAGCATCGGCGATGGCCTGGGTTTAGCTGGTCAGGGAGGAAAGGGGAGGTGCCAGCCGTTAACCTATTCCTCTCGCTTTCGCCTGCACCGTTACTGCGTGCCCCCGTTCGGCCTGCGCAGCCGACATGTCATGTTACGATAATCCGATCATCGCCAGACCCTGGGAAAAGTCTCCTCCGCTCATGCGTCGACGCTGCGTCGGACGTCCCGTGTATGCCAAGGTGGGTTATATCTGTCTGGCCTCACTTAGCTTATGTGTGAGTTACACATGCCACAAGCGGCTAATGGGGGGGCTACGAGAAGTGGGCTCCGCCCGCTTGGCGTATTTCTCGAACCGGCCCACCTATAAGCTAGATTGGGCCAAATGTTACCCACCTTGGCGCCCACGGAGACATCCCTGTCCCCCAGCATCCCCGCGTCGATCTCAATAGAGTTGAATTCGAGGAGGAGGAGGAGGACGAGGAGGAGGAGGAGGAGGAGGAGGAGGAGGAGGAGGAGGAGGAGGAGGAGGGAGGGCGAGGAACCGGAGGAGGAGGAGGGGGAGGAGGAGGAGGAGAGGAGGAGAAGGAGGAGGAGGAGGAGGGAGGAGGAGGGGAAGGAGGAGGAGGAGGAGACGAGGAGGAAGAGGAGGAGGAAGAGGAGGATCGAGACGAAGAGATCTGTCCGGTGGGCCCCGGGAAGGCCCCCTCTCCGAAGCGAACGTTCAAGGAAGGGGCTCTGCGCGGGCGAGACCGGCGGCCTCGGCCTCGGGCGCGGCCTGCCTTGGCGGACCCCTGCCGCGGCGAGCCCTCTCCCATAGACGCCTCGATTTCGGCCTCTGGGGCCCATGGCCCAGGCTTGCGACGATCAAACATGGAGCTAGGGCGAAAAGCTTGCCCTGGGGAAGTGTATCGATACCGCTCCTTCCGGACTTCTCCTGGGGCGCGTTCTGGCCAACATGTCGAAGCGACTGCATCGGCGACGAGGGCCTCCCAGGAAGCCTCAAAAAAGGGTAAAATGGCGAGGGTTAGCGGTATGGCTACCTTTCCTGAAGAGCAGAACATCCACCCTCAAGATAATCACCCCGACACGCGAAGCCGTTTAGTAAACGTACCCAAAGGAGACATCGAAGAGGGCAAGGGCTGCTCAGTAAACGCCCAGAGCAGCTTAGCAAACGCTAATTATCGGTCGGGCATGTCCTCCTCCTCCGTCTCCTCCTCCTCCTCCTCCTCCTCCTCCTCCTCCTCCTCCTCCCCCTCCCCGTCCTCCTACAGGCAGGACAGGTACCAGAGCGGTCGAATGTGGCTACCTCCTGGACTCGTCGCTGTGCAGCAAGTGCGGTGCTGCCCCGGACACCATGTTTCACCGATTATGGCAATGCCAGGCCGTGAGTGCGCAGCGTTCGGAGATTGTGGATCAGTCCCTGATCGATCAGGCCCTGGCACTTGGCCCTGAAGATTCCGAATGGTTGCTGTTCACCAAGGCCATATTCCCACACCCAGGTGACTACGTCCCCGTGCCCGTGGAGGAGGGAGGCATGCAGGTGGTTTGGGAGGGTGATCCCGACAACGTTTCCACGGATATCGAAGGCCACGTCTTTTTCGACGGATCCGGGCTGAAAAGCCCGATTGTGGCGATGTCTCGAGCTGGCTGGGGGGCTTCTGTATATAACGAGGCCGGAGAGCTCAAGTGTACCCTCTGTGGACCCGTTCCTCGCTTCCTCCCGCAGACTTCCCAGGCCGGTGAATTCTGCGGCCTCGGCGCCACCAATGAGCTCCTTAGCGGGCCCTCGACGGGATACTCGGACTGCGCCAATGTGGTCCAGGCTTTTAAGGCTCCGGTACCCCATCAGGTTTCGAATAACAGGCTTTATGCCGGTGCCCTTTTAAATATGTCTCAGACTAGGTATCGAGATGTAATTCAAGTGAAAGCGCACGTGTCTGACACGGGCGGCCTCTCGCCAGAGCAACTGTTTTATAAGACTGGGAACGACGCTGCCGATGCCGCGGCAAAGCGCGGTGCCTGGTCCCACCCGATGGCCTCTGCTGCTGAACTGGTCGAGATTGACCGCCGTGTGCTCATCGCTCGCAAGGTGTGCGCCATGGCGGCTCAACTTCTTCCTCTTTGGCCCCGCCTGAGCCTCGACGGGGTGCCGAGAGCCACAGGCGAGAGCCGCCAGCCAGCAGATGTGCCTGTGCAGTTGCATGAATGGTCATGGTGCCGCTCCTTTTGGAGATGCCAGCGCTGTCTGAATTTCCGCCGCTCGGATCATAAGCCTCAGAGTTCCGGATGTTCTGGTGTCCTGCCCGAGGCCACCCGCGAGATCGGGCAAATCCAGCACCAATTGAAAGTTTTTGATTGCAGCGACGGCACTCTGTTATATGCCTGTGAGAAGTGCAAGGCATATTCCACTGGCGGTCAGTTCAGAAACCTTCGTAAGAAGTGTTTGGACAGGCCTGCCAACAATTTCGCGATCTCGACCTGGTCCGGCCTCCTCAAGGGAAGGCACCCCAAATTTCCCCAGGTCCAGGTCGAGCCTTTTTCTCTGTCGGCGTGAGTTGGCAGGAGCATCGCTGATGAAAAAAAGTCCTCCTACAGGCAGATTTTGAATACAATTCCCCAATCCGTGTTTACTGGGTCATCTGCCTCCTCCTCCTCCTCCTCTCCCTCCTCCTCCTCCTCCTCCTCCTCCTCCTCCTCCTACAAGCTGATTTTGGATGCAAATTGTCCAACCAATGTTTGCTGGGTCATCCGGGGCCCCTCGTGCGCCGTCCTGGGGCAATATTGGAGACCTCCTCAGCCGTTTTGAGCCGACGGATGCCTGAAATGGCGAGGACGCCAAAACCCATCCAACACGCAAGGGCAATCGATGAGTCAGACTCTTCGGGCCCTCTTGCGAAACTGCGGCCTGGCATAGTGCTTGCAACACTTTCGGTCCATCCACTGATTGGGTTTTCTCCAGCGTAATGCAAAATACAAAGATGCTGATACGTGGCAACAAAAATACTCGAAAATTCGTTCCCAGACTACTTCTCAGCTAGTTGGGAATATTCCACCTGCAGATACAAATGCCCGACTCATGCCGAGCGGCGCCAGGACCCTCAACGATCGATCCAGCTCGAAGGATGGCGCAGAAAGATCGGGTCTGGGGCTCTGGTCACAATTTTCCACGATGTTGCAGTGCTTCCGCTGCGACGGATCTCAGGGCGCGACGCGGCGATGTGGCGCGGGCTCCAAGAGGTCGTCCGCGGCCTCGGAGGCGTCCAACGAGGCCCCTGGACCCAGACCTCTCCTCGCGCCGCGAAGAGCATCGAGGCTCGAGGGCCACGGGGCCCGCGGACGACTGCACCCCTCGCGCGCGGCCACGGATGGCTTCCACCGCACCTCTGGTCAGAACGCGCCCCTGCCATCGACCTCGGCCCGCGGAGCCTTCCGCGCCGCAGGTGCCGCCGCGCAGCGGCCGCGGCGACGGCCGAGGCCGCCGCGGCGCGCTGGCGGCGGCCGCTGCGCGGCGCCTGCCGCCCGGATGGTGCGGAAGGTGGAGGTCGAGGGCGGAGACTCGCCATCGCTAGGACGTCCATTCTGTGTGTGTGTGTGTGTGTTTTTCGGTTTCGTGCGTGGTTTTTCCGCCAAATGATCAAGGATGCTCCTCGATGGTCCTCGCCGAAGGAAAAAATGCACACGTCCGAGCGATGCCGAGGAGAGGTCCAGGGGCCAGGTCCTGACCCTCGAAGACCCAGCCGCCCTCGCGCCGCGAGGGCAAGCCTCGAGCCCTCGAGCCCTCCGGGGCCCAAGCCGCCGAACTTGGCGCGCACCGCGCCCTGCGAGGCGCGACGCCTCGTCACCTTCGCGCCCCCGCGCCCCCGCCCTGCCCTGGAGGGTGCCTCTCTCCGATTCCAAGCCGCGATTCACGAACAAAAGCCGCGGCCCCGCGCCTGCCGACACGATACTCTCGATCCTTGGCCCCAGAGCCCAGGAGGTCAGGTCGCGCCCCCCCCCCCTTCGCCCTTCGCCGGTTTCACTGCGTGCGGGTCCGTAGTGTTGGCGGGACCTGGGGCCCGAAGACACGCCCCAGAGGCCGACATCTGGAAATCATGTCCGAACTGAGGAGGAGGAGGAGGAGGAGGAGGAGGAGGAGGAGGAGGAGGAGGAGGAAGAGGAGGCGGTGGAGGAGGAGGAGGAGGAGGGGGAGGAGGAGGTTGAGGAGGAGGAGGAGGAGGAGGAGGAGGAGGAGGAGCAATAGGAGGAGGAGGAGGAGGAGGAG